GGGCTTTGTTTAGACAGGTTTTTCTGTTAGAGAAATTGTGTAAAATTTGAAATCTTACACATGCCTGGAAGTATTTTTAGCTACCATTTTTACAAGCCTTGCCTTAAGCCTCTGGAGCTAAAACCAGACCTCAGAAAACCAGATCCCAAACAAACCAAAGCATAATCCCTCTCTTCCAATGTACTTACCTGGGTGAATTTGGCATCTGGCACACTGGCAAAAACTTGGTACTTTTCTCTCAGATCTATTTTTTCAAAAAAAAAAATAAGAGAACAAAAAGCCATTTACAAAAGAAAAAAAAAAAAAAACTTGATAGTGAAAAAATTGGTTGGGGGCGTTCAGGCTGATACAGCAGAATTTAAACCAGCTTAATTCTTTTAAACACAGATGTGGGTGTCAAGTCCACATCAAAAAATTAATTTAGCTCACTGCTGGTCAGATTTTTGTATGTTCTCCACATAAATCACTGGAGAAGCTTCTTGGTCACTTTTTCCTTCCCAACAATGACATAATAAGCAAGGAAAGGGAAAGCAAAGGAATTAAGCTGAACCTTGGTAATATGTGCAGACTCCATCCCAGCAAAAAATACAGTCCATCTGATAGTACATACGAGGCTGAGCATACATAATATAGACTTCTGTCAGTATACAATGTTTACTGGCAATACCATGGTAAGCTTGCACTAGAAATGGAAGCAATGAGGTAGTTTTTAAGGTGATCGTGCTGACAGTGCTGAGGGAGAAGCTCCCCAGCTGTGCCCTGGTGTACCTCTGCCCCCCCCCCCCGTGACGGACCACGGGTGGTGGGGTAGGTGAAGACCTCGTCCTGCTCCCTGCACGTCCCGCAACATTTCCAGTGGCACCACCCCAGCAACAGCAACTAACCCGGGGTTTGGGCGGTTTGGGCTGGATAACGGCCTTTTGTTCCCCACCCTGTGGCAGAGCAGGGCTGCTGCCTGCCCTTGGCACCGCGGCACGGCGTTGCCTGCCAGACGCGCAAACAAGAGCTGCTGCGGGCACCGGCATGCCCGCGCCACCCCTCCCAAAACACCCTCCCCACGTGCCTGTAACCCTCTGGGTGAGCTGACAGTGTCCTGGTCACAGCCCTCTGAACCCCTGAGAACCCACCACCGCCTTTGGGGGAGGTTTGCACTCTCTCATGGGCTGGCAGCTCTTCCCAGGTGCGTGCTGGAACTGGGGCCCCAGTGACATATCCATGGCTAGTTTCTTTCCGTGTTTAACATCCCAGCTCTGTGAAGTCCTGCATCAATCCACAGCAGTTCTCCAGTCCAGGAGAAGACAGACACACAGCCCCGTGGTCCATCTGTCCCTCTCATAGCTGCCACCACTGGGATCTCTCTGGTTTGAATAACAGCCATGACAAAAAGGGCTTCCAGGACTTTCTCCTCCTTTTTATACTGCCTGAAACAATGTTTTTCTCACAGAAATGTAACATCCCCAGACCTCAGCAGTCGAAAGGCAGAACTGCAGTTACGCTGGGGACAAGAGGAGTAAAATGAGGAGGAAAAGAGAGCAGTCTTGAAAAGAGGAGTCCAGAAAGAAGACAGGGGCACCAGGAGGGTGGCAGCTTGCTCAGGGGTCTGCCTGCACACGCCTGCATCCCCTGGGAGGCAAACGCCTCTCTGCCTGGGGTTGGATCTGAATGGTCAATGGAGGGAGCCGTGACTGGCAGTTTGGAGTAGGATAATTATAATTTGGGCTCTGCAAGTGTGGGTTAGCTTTCACTGAAATAAACTGCTCAGATCTATGATGAATATCAACACTGTAGGCACAAGGGGCAAGGCAGTAAATTGTAGTAGGATGAAATACCTACATTTAATTATGTCAAATTATATAGAATTTGAGAGTTTTTCTGATGCATGCTATTTAAAGTTATGCCTAAGTGCACTTCCTTGTCTGAATAAAGCAGCTTTTGTTGCAAGATGTGGGCTTGCTTTGTAGTTTATGATTTACAGTCTTCACCACATTTTGTCACTTTCTTGTTTCTTGACTGTTTCTGAACATCTCATTTCAGATAATGGGATGCAGCTAGAGTGCCATACTATATACAGCCTCTTAAAAATGCATGAGCAGTGTTTTGTTGGGTTTTTTTCCCACCAAGATATTCAGGTACCTTGAGTATGCTCTTCACCGAAGTATATATATGTAACACACGCACGCACAGTCAGTAGTCACTGCTCCACCAGCCTAAAATTCATGCACTTCTACACCAGCTGGCTGGGGCCAACCCTGCTGATCATCACTGCTGATAATTTTTTGATCAAACCAATCAGGAGTGCACAAATAGCCCCAGACCGGCCCAGCTGAGCTCACCCTTTGGCTCCGTGTCATTAGCAGCCTCTGGGGTTGAGCAGGGGTTTGGGACGCTGCCCCAGGAGCTGTGTGTCACACAGCCAGGCTTGGCCCGCTCCCCTCGTGGTGGGGCTAGCAAATTACAAAGCGAGGAGCCTCCATCTTGGGGCAGAGGGACACCTAATAGTTTCCACTGTGGGCAGAGGAAACGACCGGCTGGTGAAGCTGAAAGGGTTGCCACCTACACAGTCCAATAGCCCTGGAAAGAAAAGGTGGTTTATGTGCAAATGAGAGCCTGAAATCTTCCTGCCCGACGGGCTCGGCGCAGAGAGCGAGCCTACGGCCGTGGGTGGCAGTAAGGACGCACAGCATGTTGGCAGAGCAGCTGAAATTTAGTGCAGCCTCAGTAAGCACAACATTTAGCTGGTGGTACTGGTGGCCCAGACCTGAACCACTTATTCACATCCAAACAGGCATGGGAACATTTCTGATCTGGTGCTCCTGCCAGCACGAAGCGCTCAGCACCCTCCTCAAGCTGCAGGAACGTGCGGAGGGGTGGCCAGTCCTGCACAAGCCCTGTCCTCTCAGCCGGCACGGCCGGACCCTGGTGACAGGGCAGGAAGCACTGATGTATTCCAGGTGTACAGGACACAGGACAGTATAGTCATGGCTGTCCTTCTCAGATACAGCGTCACGTCTCTAAGTTGCCTGGCAGAGAACGGGGAGCGTCCGCAGCCATAACTCACCTCATGGCAAGGGACTGCGGCGAGGCTTGCCCAGCAGAGTTCTCAGCATAGCACCAGATTTAATGAAAGGATTAAAGAGCTTCATAAATAAGTAATAAAATAACAAAAGCCCACTTGAATTTATCTATTCCCCCTGGTGGAAAAATAAGCAAATAAATCCAAAGAACCTACTTAGAAAAAGGCCCAATATTTCATACCTAGATGAAGGATTGTAAGGTTTCATCTATAGATATGTACAGTTGTTACCAGCACAGCTGAAGGAAATGACTGAAACCCAAGGATCGTTTGTCCTTAAAAATAAAATTATTCAAACTCATTGGGAAAAATATTTTAATCTTCAGTCTCAGGTAGCCAGATTCATTCAAGAGCAGCCTGATTCATTTCAGTGAGTGTGTATAGATGCAGACACACCAAATTATCAGTTTACTTTTGCAGCTATGCGCCGCTGAGATTATTTTAACTATCAAATGTGAACATCCTCCTCCCCAAAACAGCAGGCTGAACAGAGGCAGTTCCTGTGCTTCCACAAAGTGGCTTTGCAAGAGCAGAGGTAGCATCAAGCTGAGAGCTGGGGTGGCAACAGCAGAAACCCAGACAAATTTGCACCAGGCTTCACTTAACCCACAGCACTATGGTAGCTAAGGGCTCGGTTAGTGAGGGGGACAGCAAAACTCTCAGCAATTTCACTGCTCGTAACACAAGATGAATCACAGGTTCTCTGCTGAAAGCTAATTAGATAAAGTGCAAGCTCCCAAAGGCTCATGCTGTGCGTATGACAACACCCCTACCACAGCCTCAGCCAGTGTTTCAGCCTCTTGATGGTCCTGAGCCGTGAATAGCTGTACGTCACCAAAGCTGCCTCACCTGGGGGAGGAGGAACAAGACCAAATGATGAGGCGGGGGATGAGGCGGCAGCAGGCAGGGCACTGCAGGTAGGCAACAGATGCCCAGTCCGTGATGGCCAGGCTGGCTCCCTCTCCTGAGGGGCTGGAGCTGGGGCTGGCAGCGGAGGGGAAGCCCAGGGAAGCTGGAATCGCTGGTTGAGGGCAGGCAGGGCTGTGACCCCGTTATGGAATGATAGTGCCCACCTTGCACCTCTTCACCCTTTCACTCTCATCGTGAGGCGGCAGCAGCAGCCGCCTCCATAGTACTGGCTCCACCATCTTCCTTGGCTCAGCCCCGGCTCCTGCCTGGGGACAGCGAAGCCTCCCCACACCTGGGGAAGCTGTGGGTCAGTTGTGGCACTGGGCAAAGCCAGGAAGGAAATGATGGAGGGAAAAGGCAAAGGCTCCAGACTGGCTCTGATCTGCAAGGCAGTTCAACACCCGCTTGCCTTTGCTTCCGCCACCTCTAACTCAAGTGTAACAAACACCAAATGAGGAAGAGCTTGATAACCTGTACTTCAGTTTTATTACAAACAAGTGAGACAAAAGACACTTTAAAAGTCTGAAAGTGTAGTTGAAAAAGTAGCTAGGTTGTTGGCAAAAAGGGAGGCAGAAAACTTTACTGAAGAGATGGGAGGGAGCTGACAAAAAATCATTGGAAATGAGTAAGTTATGGTTACTCTAACCTTGTCATTAGTCCTTTTTGTTCTCTGTGTATTAACATTTGAATGGCAAACTGCTCACACTTTCCTTCCCAAGTTAAATTATGTTTTGTGAATAAAACACAGGACCAGTGGGTTACAGCATGGGATGCCATGAAGCCACTGAAGCTGCACTTGAACAAGACTGCTCTTTGTTCCTCTACTGCCTCACTGCTTTCTTAAGAGGCATCTTCAAAAATCCCTGAGGTCAAGCCAATAGACATTAGAGCTTTATCATCAGAGCAGACACGATCTTCCTGGTTTTTATGGGATAAAAAGCTACCCAGAAATACTTTTATATGTGACACATACCTCTCAAGCGTCTTCTGCTTTGACTTGAGACACTGCCCTGCACCAGGCTGGGTGGCAGGGGAAAGCCTACAGCACTACCTTGCAGCTGTGGGTCCTGCCAGGGGCACCTTCCCCCTGTCTGCTGCAGAAATCAGACCAAAACTTCAAACATATCTAGGTTGTCCCCTTCCTGAAAAACCCTGGATTAGCAAACGAAGAGCATGAGATGGCTGAGCTACCCAAGCACGTGGAAAGCCAAGGCGCTGCACTGCAAATGTGTGCGGGCTTGGGGTCACGCAGTGCCTGTCAGGTCCCGGGTTGTCACTGAACAACCTGGAATTGCTTCTCCAGGCCAGCCAGGACCCGTCCCCCCGGCTCGCGGGGCTGAGCTGGCTCTTCCATTTGTCTCCCATCACGGCTTATTTCCAGCCTGTCGGGTACCACGCTGCTCTGGCTCAGCTGCCCGAGGGAGGCACCGCTGTGCCTGCGTGCCGGCTGCTGCCTGCGCTGCCGTCGCCTGCCCCCGCACAGGTTGCTTCTGCAACCCCTTGAAGGTCACGGTCCCCACGTGGCCCACGCTGTCCCGCTGCCACAGCTCGGGCAGAGGCAGGGTTCGGGCCAGTGCTCCTCGCCCCAGGCCAAACCAAAAGTGTTGGGGATGCTGGCATTGCTCTGCACACCCATGGTGCCCTCCACCACTCGGACCCTTGGTAAGGGCTGCCTCGGGGTCCCCAGCACAACCTAAACTGGCAGAGCAGCAGAGGGGAAGGGGATGCATCAGCTTTACTACCTGTGCGGCTTATGCCAGAGCCCTGGGAAGCCAAGCAAACCACATTTGTATGTGGGGGGCTCTCACCGACCCGTGGGGGGTGCGGGTGGAGGCAGCAGTGGGGACTGCTCGCCCTGCCAGCCCCCCCGCCAGCCGCTGGAGCAACCCTGCTCCTCCACCATCTCCCTTGTCCTCCAGGTTTCCCTCTGGAAAAGGCGGGAGAAGTCCAGGTCAGGCATGAGCGGCCCGAATTCATAGTGGGAGCTAACCAGAGAGGCTTCGCCCGGCACGGGAACAACTGTGCTCATCTGCACTGCTTCGTCGCCCAGGATAAGGGGGGTGCCAGCAAGGGCTGAGGTGGAAAGACTGGAAAGAAAGCATCTGTCTGCAGCCCGGGTCACTTACCTCAGAACTGCCTGAGACCACACAAAACTGGAACTAGCAGCGGCTCAGGCATGGCAGAGCTCACAAACACTGCAAGAAGAGTGCATCCGCAGGCATCATAAACTCAATTTCTGTTTTCAGCCAGTACTCAGCTGCAAGCAAACAGAGTGCAAGTAAACAGGAATGATTTAATTATCATATAAAGGTAATTAATTAGATGCAGGAATCAACAGGGAGTCCTTCTCAAACACTGGTGGCACATTACTGTCAGTCGTAGAACAGCTATCCACAGACCTACATGAGCAGACCTACAGACACTAGTTTCTACTCTTAACGTAGTACTTAAGTACGTAAGTTATTTTGGTTTATTTTATTTCCTCCAAGATAGACAAAAATAGGGTTTAAAAATGTAACCAAAGACCATAAAATAATTTCAAAGCAAGTAACATAAACGCAAAGCTGGGGTTGGTTCAGTGTTGCATTTGTAATATGAAACAGACTAATGAGCAAATTAATCAGTATTATTAATCAGGGGGCTTAGTTCTTTCTCTTAGAGGGCTGGGGATGACTAACATGTTATTAAGTACAGGTAAGGCCATTGCTGCTTGTAGCAGTTGGACTGAGGGACAGACCATCTTCTTCCGGCTTCTTCCATGCACCAGTTAGTGCATGGCCCCAGCATCCACCTAACATTTCGTGTGCTGCTTCTCCAACTCTCTTTCCTCTCTGCCAATACCACGGAATGGGCAATTTCATCTGAAGTTAAGCATCTAACATCCACATTTGGGCTGTGATCCCGTGACAGCTACAGCCACTGGAGAGTTAGCTCCTGTTGCCCACACAAGTATGTAGCAACAGTGCCTGAGGTGAGTCAGATTACCCTAACGGCACTTACTAGCTTGCTCAACTGCCCTGCTCGGCCATACACACCTTTATCCAACACTTAAATTTAGGTGGCTTAATCCTCAACTGAATCCCACATACAGCTCCTGAAAGGGGACTACAGATCCCTCATCTCCCATTAACTCACCACTGTTGCTGATGGCTTTGTTGAACCAAGACCTGCCCCCCTGTTATCTTCAGATACTCATCAGAAACCTTGTGAACTAGGGCAACCAACTCCAGCCAGGAGACATTTAGAAGGGTGGAGTTCTGCTCTAAATTATTTGCCTCAAGGAACTAACTGCCCAGCTCAGCATCAGCCCATCACTCAGGAGACAAACCTTCCCTTCACACGCACAACATGTCATGTAGCCCACCTTATGTACTTACTGGGGATTTGAGCAATTTATTTTGAAAATTGAGACATGCACCAATCTCAGTGCTAGCATTTTATGCAAGCTCCCAGAAAAATAGTCAGACATCAGCTATCCAAGCCCCAGAAAACAAAGGGCTCCATTTAGATGACTGAACACAAGCATCTAGCGCCATTTGAGATGCCCTAAGGCACCCAAGATACACACAGGGTTGGCAGATATCACATAGGACCTATGGAAGCAGTAGCTGGAGATGTGGAGACCATGCAGGATACCCCAGGGTGTCTCAAATGGTGCTCAATGCCAAAGCGTAAGCAACAGAATTACATTCTAAAAATCCTGTTTATACTAAAGTCAGATGTACATCTCCCATATCTAACAAGCACGTATCTTGCAGAGCAGCTAAGCAGCTAAAGAGCTACAAAAGAATTGCATCCTTATTTCGGGTTTACTGAAATCTGGCCGAGCTTACAGACTGTGTCAGCTTATTTTGTTATGAACATATAATGCTCACTGAACCCCATGAGCTGCTGTGATAACAATCTCTGCCAGCTTGCTGAATGGATTCTTTTCAGTTGCTGCCTCTGAAGTTATGTGGCTAGAACAGAGCTTCTGCAATATGCCAGTGCACCAGGAACACCATTTTTTAGCTACAGGAGCAAGAGAGCTGTCTGAAAAGATTCATGAGCTCAGAACTGATTATCAGACCATAGGAGTGGAAGGTCATTGTGTCGAGTCTCCTGGCTACTGCAGGGAGAACGTACTACTAGCTAATCCTCTTATAAACACGTGTACTTCCATGAGGGAGAATGCCCCTAATGATTTAAATCCAATTTTTATTAATTGGTGAACTGTTTATTATGATGAGGTTGTTATGGCACTACAGTCTTAACTGAGCCAGATGACAGAAGAAGAGTACAAGTCTTTCATCTGCAGCTAATAAATCTGGGATCCCATGAATGCTGTGTATGTATTTCTTGAATTCCAATCTCAGGATTCAGCATTAAACTATGTACCATAATTATTTCCAGCAATTAGTGTTAAATGAGCATGACTAGATAGATTACAAATTTTATGGACTATCAGCAAGGAGTACTGACACAGTTTTTGCTTTAGAAAGAGTTATTTAGGGTGAAACAATCACTGCCCAGTTTAAATCTGAGAGTATTCCTCCACACGTTTTTTGCATAATCTAATTAATCTAATTAAGAGACCAAAGTGGTTAAAAACCAGAAAATATGACTTGCCTTTGAATTTCATTGTTAAGGAATTTAATGAGAAACAGTTATTTGTATGTAACAGCACCTACCTTCCTGTCCAATTTAGAACTCTATGTCATTTTTCCATAACATGCACTTTAAACAGCCGCCATCCTTGAGTACAGGTTACATGAGTGGATACTGCCATCTAGGCAGGCTTTTGGGAGCAGCACCTATTCTAGAACAATTGTCTTTGCCAGGGAAAAAAACATTTTATTATCCAAAACGGAGGAGAAAGGGACATTTTTATACTACTAAAAAATGACACATCACCACTCACTGAAAATATAAAACCTGCCCCTCAACCAGATTGTAATAGTCCACATTAAGAGCGAATATTTTCTACATGTTTATTAAGAAATATATTATTCTGTATTTCCATACATGCACTTGAACTTAAGCTCTGCATTAAATTACAAACCACTTTTATCTATGAAAACCGCAAGTACAAAGTATATAGTATTAAAGCTATTAATTACCAAAGCACATTTTACTATGGCAGTACTATAATTGTACCTATCTTATATGCTTTGAAATATAATAACAGTACATTTTTAGAAGGCAGTTACTAAAATATCTATTGATTTTCTACAAAGAGAGAAATAATTTTTAAAACCATTTTTCTTCATAAAACCAAAATAGTTTCCATCCAGCACAAAAAATATAAAATACATGATGCATCTATCTTATTTAAAACAATAAACAAATTCTATACACAGCATTTACAGAAGACTTACAGAGAGAAGACTTGACTAGTAATGTCATTTTGATTAGAAACATTAACAAATAGCTTCATTATCAGCTGTGAGATTCTGTAGGGGATGTATGAACTATGAGTCTTACACAAAATGGTAGTAGGATCTGAAAGGATTATCATTTAGCACCTTCCACCTGCACAAGTCCCTTGAATGTGGCTTATTGAATCGAGTCCTGCTGGAGGGCAAGCATCACCACACGTTACAAACAACGAACCGCGCTACGGAGATCGCTCCCGAGGTTTGGGAGAGCGAGATGAGAGATGCCTAGGAGCCAGGAGAAGCACACCACTTCGAGAGGTGGGCACGTTCACTTTGGCACCCACAATCTAGGATGTAGTCCCAAAGACCATATTTCCCTTGAATCTTAGTGGGTCTGCTTGATTAACCGCCTCCCAGACCGTCAGAACGGGTGACGGAGAGGCATGGTGGAGAACATCCACTGACAGAGTCAAATTTTCCTCCTGAGCTTCCTCCCTGGTGTGTCTCAGCCGTCAGGCTAAGGATTGCCCTGAGCAGGTTTGTGTACAAAGGTATTCTTCTTTCTCCCTGAAAGATCCCCTTGAATAATAATGGAAATATGGTTATCTGGCTACTGGCATATGCCCTCCCAATCCCTCCCCTCCTTCCCCCATATAATAAGAAGCAATGTAGCATGAGATTGATTTGCACAGAGAGCAAAGCAACCAAAAAGACTAGGAATTGATAAATTCACACTTAATTTAGAAGGTGGAAAAATGAGCAGAGCTGGTACCAAAGGAATTCAGTAATAAACTTTGAAACTACTGTGCTGGAAGAAGATCTGCTGCCCTTTGAACAATCCTGGAATGTAGGACAAGTGAGGATAATTTTCACAACATCTTTGCTGTGTCCTTGGCTTGTCATATGGAAAAGAAAGGCATTACTAAAAATTAAGCAAACCTTCACTGAGCTCAGAAGCTCTCTGTCTGAAAGGTTGGACTCCTTTTTGCACTTAGCACTTAGGGATATTCAGTGCCCTTTATATTAGCACAGGAAAAATAATCATTCCAGTTTCATTTTATAGCAGAGTCTTTTTGGTAATTTTGTATTTCTGTGTCCTCACCAACAGAAAAAGGTGTGTGAGCTGCCTCTTTTCCCACCACTGGCATAAATACATCAGGGTACTGTGACCTCTTGTCAAGAAATTGGCAGATTTTGCACAACTGCTTAGCAGCAGACACGTTCCATATCTAGAGGAAAAATAATTAAACAAAGACATTGCAGCAAAGATGTACCAGTGGAGCCTCTCACCTATAGCAACAAAGCAAAAAAATCTCTCCTGCCTTGTCAAAGACAAATGGAGTTTTCATTTCCCTTGCAGGAAAGAAAACCAGTATTTGAGACTATTTTACATGAAGCCATTCACCTGAAAGACAGCTAAGGACACTGGCTAAAGGACATCTTCATCAGACCAGATACACAAGCTGGTCTGGCTGTCTGAGGTTTATTTTGTTGAAAATACAGTCACACTCAAGTAACTTCTTTGGGTTTCCCCAAAACAGGAACAAAACCAAGAGGCAACACATGCATAATATGTTTTATTGAATAAAATCCTGCTTCTATTATTTACACAGCGAAGTTTAGAGGTGTAACCTACTGAAGCATGTAACATTCATAGGACATCTGGAATATCTTTAAATACATCTGAAACTACTTAGCATAGCAATCACCTGCCCATCACTGTTTCATAATTAAGGTAGATTTGAACTTTCTGAAGAATAGCCAAGATGAATATTAAGGATAGTTGAGTTCAGAGAAAACAGTCTGCTATGTGAATTCCAAACCCAAAAGACGTGAGTAAAGTGTCGAAAGTTTTGAAGGCAGCTTCTGTATTTCCCTGTTCTTCTCATCGCTGCAGAAGAAAATGACAAAATAAATTACAAATCTTAAGGCTGAAAGTAATATCCACAACTTAAACTCAGATCGCCCTCCACGGTAATCTTACTGTTAAAATTTATAATGTCATCTTAACCTCAAGGTATGTGAACTATAATAGAATACTTACTTATGTGTATTAAAAGCTACATTAAATGTTCAAAGCTGCCAAGTTAGACACGCAGAAATCAGAAATGCTGCAACTGATATTTAGTGTCAAGACAACACTAATTCCCATCATTACCTAAAAACTTTATGATGAAATGCCTGCCATCCCACTTTAGAATGTTAAGCAATGTCTAATGTGTTATTTTTTTAAAGCTCTACTAGATATAGTATCCATCTAGTACTACAGTGAAGAGGGGTCTTGTAAAAAAAAACAAACTATAGTCAATACTTTCTTATTTACAGCTTTTTTTTAAAGATAACATAATTATTCCTGATCTTACATGAATTCGCATCAAGGACTGAATGCAAGTATAGACTTGCAACTGCCGTACTAACAGACTAACTCATAGCACTAGTAGACTGTTATCTTATAGTTGGACTACTCACTGGTTGTGAATAAGACATGATTCACTGGCCATTTGCATGATTTTTGCCATCCATCAGGAAAACATTATAAACCAGAAATGTAGCATCTTACTCAAGCCTCTGGAGCTTGTTTATTCTAGTGGGTTACTGACAGCACATTATAAAAGGCACGCAGTCTAGTCTGCCACATTTGGGATTCTGTGTTGAAAAAAACCTGGTTGTTAGTCTCAGGTTAAAAAGAAATGATCTTGCACAGACTCGTATTTTATTTACCAAACACGGAAAGGAATTATATTTTTCCTGTGCATCAAGTTAACCTGTATGGAGCCCTGCCTGATAACCACGACTGCAAAGAACAGATAATTACTAACCAAAATATCTACCAGGTCCCTTCCTTGCAAAATTTACTGGTTGAGAAAGGGAAAGCATTGCCGTCATTTGCAAGTCTCTCCCAAATGGAGCACTGTTTCTAAGCAAACTGCATGGGATGTTGAAATACAACTTCAAATACCAGCTTGGAACAAAAAATACATTTAAATCAACCCCCCACCATCCCCTAACCTTTAAGCATCTAGAATAAACTTTCCATAAAATAGTTCCACAATGAAGTTCTGTGTTATAACTTTGTATTTTTAGAGACTAAAGTTGTAATAGTAATGGTGTCTCTATATACAACACACACTCCCATGGAGGTAAACTGTCACTTGGCAGAGACCACTTTAAAAATCAGAATTCGACAAGAAAATAGAATATGCAAATGTGGTAGAAAAAGCAGCAAAAAGTAACAGAAAAGTACTTGGCTATTTGCCATTCCTATGCTACAACCACCCCTCAATATATTTGTGTATCACAAGAGTATATTTTATAAAATTTGTGGCTGTTTTCTTCTGTTTCTTCTTTTATCTTTTTTTGTTTGTTTATTTCCCTCCCTAAATGAACAGCAAGACAATGTTCCATCTCTCCAGGAAATGTATATCCATCCTAATGACACAGCCTCTTTTCTCTTTATCTTTTTACCAACTACAAAAAGTTATCTGGAACACACCTGCCTACCTGGAAGCTCTTTCTCTGATAGCTAACACAGCTATAAATTTTAATAACTAAGAAGCTGCTGAAAGATACAGATTTTGCTCTCGCTTTTCTCACTGGTGAAGGATAGAACATGCATTGTTAAACATTGTTTTTCAGTAGGAAAACCACCTGTATTGTCAGTCTCAAGATAAGCAACTATGCATGTGTGAGACACTGTCAACAAAGGTTCAATAAAACCAAATGTACATTAAGATAATAAAGTTATATTTAGAAATTATTGACTGTAGCATCCAGCCTGAGACCCTGCATTAGTCTCAGACTATTAAGTTAATTCAGGTGCCTGAGAGAACCTTTCTGGGTATAAGGTACATTTGTACACGCAGGTAAACATAATTCAGGGAGGGGGGTGGTTTTGTTTGTTTTTTAAAGATGTAGATTTATTTTTTGTTAAGTGGGAAATACCTACTTGTGTGAATAAGGACAGAAATATTTTGACACACCAATAACATAAAAGCATACTGTAACTGGTAAAAGTAAGTTTCGAGTTAGCATCCCCATGCTTTAATATAGATCCTGTTTCCAGGTTTGATGAGGACTTTCAGTGGTAGACCATAAAACATTATACAACTTGGTGTTATCCAGTAACAAGGGGAGGGAATCATATCACTGCAGACTTCATGAAATTAAGTTGCAGGTAGCTTCTCTTCCCAACTACAGAGATTTCAGGCCATGTTAGAAAGGACAGTCTGATATATATCACTGATACATTTAACAAATACCACTTGTTTTTTTTTTTTCCCCACAGCCTGCCTGGAAGCAACAGATGAAGTAATTTCTAGTAAGTTGTTGCTTAAGAGGGGAAAAGAAGAAGGTAGCCAGCCATTGCTACCAACTTGTATCTAACAGAAATTACTTGAAGCATAAGCCAAGCAATAACATAGCCATCTTGGCCATTTTGGTAACCCAACAGCCAATCCTACACCCCTCTTCACGACAGAGAACTGCTAGCTCCTCTGTCTCTCCTCTCCAGCAGCAGGACAAGTAGGGCCTCAACCTTTCTAACATCCAGAAGACTATGGCTGTGCTCAAATCCACACAAACTGTAACACCATTTCTTAGAAAAGACACTTCTGTCTCCCTATACCTGAGGTGGTTTGGAACATTAACCTCACCAGTTCAGTGGAAAGTAATGTCACTAATAAAGGCTACACTGAATAAAAAAAAAAAAAAAAAAAATGCAAAGCAATCCTTCCATTTCTCAGAAACATAAGCGCACTAGCTTATACGCAAACTCTGTGGAGTAGATGACAGGACGAACATCTACTACAAGTGCTGGGTGAAGTACGTACGACCAATTACCTACTAGAGCACATGAAAAAATAAGGGAATACTCCCCTGAAATATGCCTTACAACAAGGAACCTTTATATAAAGGTTCTCTTGTAAAAACCTTTGAGCAACTTGTTCTGTAACACTAATTTCTAGTCACACCAACCAAAAGATGGGCCCCACCATGTGGATGTTTTCTTAGACAAACCAGAAAGCAGAGTTTTCTGTGTCTTTACATTGTTTTCCAGGCAACCCCTAACAAACCTGTTCCTTGATATGTTAAATCCACGTTTTCAGCTGGCCAATAACTTCCTCTGATATTTGTGTGTGGTGCAGCCCAGAGGAGAGATGTAAACATGAATGTAAATGGCTGTCCCACATTTTATTCCATAGTACCTTCACAGAAAGGTTTAGTGTGGACTTCCAGTGTGGAAATTGGATTGTGTGCAAATTCAATGCAATCTCAGAACCCACATTTTTCTCCTCATACTTCCCTCACTTTAGCATCCTATGGAGGAACGGGGATTAAACTAAGTCTCTGAACCACCAGATATCCTTGGTTTGTCTCCCTTTCCTTACAAAGAGGTAAGAATATTTGATCCTTTGGTTTCTTTTGGAAAGGAACAGATTAGAGGCTGCCTAGGCTTGGCCCCATACTTTGCCTCAAAGAGAAGATACAACTCTTTCTCTTTAGGAAAGCTTCACTGACTTTATTACAGATGTGCCAAATAAAAAAGAAATTAAGTCTTTAATACGATTACTTCAGTTTGAATAAAAAGTGAGGACAACTGTCATGAAAAAGAGAGCATTTACCACGTACTCTACAAAAAAGATCTCAACATTCTTCAGTTTTAATCCTAAGAAAACACTCTGGCATGTCAATAACAGGTGATTTTGGAGAAATACTGTAAGTGGAACTATATTATTTTTCAGAGATGCTGCCTCACTGGTAGGATTCCCATTTCACATATAGGCACTCCACTATCAGCTATCAGTGGAAACAAGGAGAGTGAAACGCAAAGAGTCGTCCTGAAAGTAAGTATGCATATAACCAGATTAACATTAAAGTATTTACAACCTTCTATCCCTGGCCCTAAATTTAATTCACAGCTTAACGTATAGATAAAATGGACACGAGAGGGCGCCCCTATTATAGGGTCCACCTTGGCCCTCCAGTCTTTGGTGTCAACAGCTAAAAATCCCCTGCCTGCCTATTACAGGATCTCCTTATGACAAAGGAAAACAGGCCTGTTGTTTACTTCTTTTCTTTTTAGTTTAGATGCACAAGACCCATCAAGACTCAACCTCAAAAACCAGGCTACCTGATTCACTTAATTAGAGGAAGTAGAGAATACAGCGCGTTGACACATTTCTTATTAAACTTTGGTCATTAAACACCAGTTTTCCCAAAGCAACACACAATACTAAGTCCCAGTTGGCCACTGCACAGTCTAATGGTACTTAGCATGATATTATAATAAAACAAAGACAAAAGTTGTTACAGACTGTGATTAATAGACATGTAATAGAAATATATATTACTTCACAGACTTACTGCCTGAAGGGCTCTGCAAACAGAAATCTTCAAGCATGACAAAATTGAATAAAATATTATAAAGAAAAATTCTTTTTAGAATAAATATTAAGTATAAGCCTTACAGATTTGAACAGAACTGTAAGATAATACAGAAATTTCAAGTGTTTTCAATGCTCTGTGTATGTCTGCAATGCAGTGCCTATATTTTGTTCAAACTGGGCTGTATTAGTACTTCCCAGGATTACAGGCCACCCTGAAAAGTGCAAAACTGTAAAATGTAACGCTATGGTTTGCCTCTGAAATAATTGTAAGTCTTCTAATATAGGTGAAAATAAATTCTGTGCATTACTATTCCTTTCACCTTACATTCTTTTCATTTCTCAGGATATAAGACATTTAATTTTCAGACTGATTAAGCAAGGTAACTAATTTTAAACACTGACTTCAATGGAACTACTTAAAAATATTCAGATGCCTTTAAGGCTGAAGGCCCAAAGACATAATTCCTTTTATAAACAAATAAATAAATACAAGAGTAGTACTCTAACCCCAAATCTTGCAATCACTCTGTCAGAATTCTTAGAGGTAAACTGTCAGTATAAGACATTATTTCTCACCTGTACTACTGCTCAGTAGTTAATCATTTTTCGAAGAGCATCATAGCATTTCCATTTGTCCGGGATGTAGAAAGGCTCAAAGATGTGAGGGAAAGGAGTGTCATAGCCACATACTCTTGAAATTGGAGCTTCTAAATTCAAAAAGCATTCCTCCTATTAACAGAAACACAGAATAAATGTTAGTGATGCCATTATTTTCAGGAGTCTTGCATCACAAATTGAGGTTAAATGAACTTTGCCAGACTGACAGTCCTGGAAACTCAAACCTTCTATTTATATCACAGCATAAGCAGTCCAGACCAGAACAGTGCTTCCTCTTGCCCAAAGGTCCATATTAAAATAACAACTTGTATTAATGTAATTTTCATTTTCTACATGTGTACTGCATTAAATCATAGGCAGGTTATATTTAGTACATCTGCTATACATCCAGACAAGTGCTGCCAAGAAACAAATATTTTAGGAACAAAGGAGTAAGAGTTCCTTTCCTGTGCCACTTTTAAACATATAGAAAAATTACATAATCTAAGAGTGTGTAATATTTGTTGGATACATGAACATAATATTCAGACTTCTTTGAACCCTTAGATTATTAAGACTCTGTCTGAGAAGCATTAAGCAGTCATGGAAATTACAAATTTGAATTCAAGAGGATTTGCGTATTTTCAACCCAACCCATGCTCTCCACAAAACCCCGCAACTTGTGTTCTATTTGGAGATCAGATTTGGCAGCGACTGTGAGAGCTTCATTACTTAACCTAGTGGGGCACAAAATATTACAAATACAACACATTAATCTGAAAGTAACCTGTGGAAGTATGTGTAATGTTACCAGCTTTAATAATCAAACAGTGGGGTTTCAATCTTCCTACTTTCAAGCACCAGAGTGATGGTACGGACCATAAAAATCTGCAGGAAGTAGATTTGCCAGATCAAACTGATGTTGATGTTAATTATCAGCTCTGTTTCTCCCCAAACCTTTAGCATATGTATTTGCTTTCCAGAGCAGACAAATGAAGAGATGAAAAACGTCTCCTCCTTGCCTCTCCTTTATGAACTGCAGCGACTGAGACGTCCTGGCCAACTGCCCCTGTACTTGGCTCAGAAAAATGGAAGGTGAAGGATTATCTACCAGTCCTTTTCCACCAGGCCCACAAGGAAAACAAAGAGCTGTGCTTTTCTGCGGCAAAGTGCTAAGTGTTTTCTCAGACCGATGAACTGTTTTGAATGTACGTTGCCTTGCAGTCCATGGCAGCCTAACTCTAACTTCTGTGCTTTCTATACATCACGATATTCAGCAGCACAGAAGGTACTCATAACACACTGAGATTATAACATTTTGCTCCAGCTACCACTTTGTTGCGTTGTGAAGTGGCATATTTCTGGAAGATAGATGGGAGTAAAAAGTCCAAGAGGTTGTGTGATTGCATACAGTGTCATGACATTTAACAGTGAAATAATTCACCTTGAAAACTTCAGAGCCTGAATAGATCTGAGGAAAAAATATATGCAAACAATATAAAGAAGTTTTGAGCTCCATTTTCAGGCACTCCTTTGCTTTTCTTGGTAAGGTGAAAGATTCATATTAGTACAAAATGCTGGTAAGTAGAGTGTATTAAGTCCTTTACCTGTCCATGAGGTTGATCATAATGTCCTACCCCAACCTGCTGGCAAGGATATTTTTGATACTGATCAGTCCTTGGTTCCCATGCTGTGACTCCCCAGTAAGAGAAAGCAATAACTTTCAGACCATTCAAAAATTGACTGTCCAGAGTACCTGTGAAGTTGCATTACAACAAAATATACAAGTATATTCTAGGCTCACAGCCTTTCAGTCCTGCATTGCTATTTCAGAGTACCCAACACAGGACCACTACCTAGGAGAGACCTTTCGTTTACATCATAACCAGCTCTGCGATAGCGGCTCATCCCAAATGAAGCTTGGAGAGAAAGTCCATTAGTTTCACTGAAAATATTTACTGCAGTATTCCCCATACACTGGGTATCCATGCAGAGAGCAGCACTGCACCTTCAGCAACCCAAGCAGCAGACAGAGAAAAGTTAGATGCGACTGGCAGGTGGGTGCTATACTCCCCTGAATGAGACCCCAGGCTTGGCTGTGAATAGAAATCTCAGCTGGTAAACCCAAGACATAGAATAGTGCATATTTATTAATGCTATTGCTATTATATTTAATCCAGAATAAAAATTAAGTCGTAAGACTTTCCAAAACTCCATTTATTATTTTTTTTTCCCCAGGGAGAACCCAAAACAGCTGTTACAAACACCCCTTCCATGGTTTTAAAACTCAGCAATTGCTTTCTGTTTGAGCATTCCCCTTTTGCTTTGAAACTTGTACAGCTTCCAGAAAGTCATGTGGATTTCCCTGCCTCAGTGAGGAAGTCAGATAGTGAAGCTGGGATGAGTAGCGTTGCATTGTCAGATACCATCCAAGAATGACAACCCAACAGAGGTGGAAGAACTCTTACGTCTCAGCTACTCTCCGTGTGTATGTGTACAGACATAACTCTCTTACTATTATTTTTCTGGATGTAAGGGTGTGTGTTTGCAGATTTTTAACTAAGCTATTGCACTGCATGAGTAAAATACTTCAGAGGCAGAAAAAACAGACACAAGCCACCAGTCAAATCCATGAGGTACACGTTATCTGAATGAAGTCAACACAGCTTCACAAAGATTCACACCCAAGTGGCTCTGACTGTAATAATGCCATGCAAAGAATTTCACATTGTAATAGTTTATCATGGAAAAAGTAATTTTCCTAGTGAACTGATAATACTTGTACAACAATACACTGAATGAATGGCTTACAGTTTTTAGAGAACCATCACAGAATCATAGAATGGTTTAGGTTAGAAGGGACTGCCAAAGATCATCTGGTCCACACCCCACTGTAAATTCATCTTACAATGTATTGTTTACCTTACTGGCCATATCTAAAGTCATAAGTAAATCCTATACACATGGGTATGTTATTATGCAGAGGATGGTTAGATTATTGATGCACACATTTTACAGATGCAGGTTTGGGTCAATTGATGCGTTGGTTATGGAACCTACTAGAGTAAGTCTCTCAATGTCAGTGACCACAGTAACAACAGAAATGCTGCAGACCTAGCAAAATGAAGATGATTCACTTGACATTATTTAATTTACAGATTTACTGACATTTGCAAGAATACTGATAAGAGCAAACTGCAAAGAACAAAAGCTTAAGATTTATTTTTAATAGAGTGGAAATAAAATCATAATCCAGAAGGTGGAATATAAAGTTATCATCGGAATAAGGTATTTGAAAACAATCAAGAAAATGCACTTTTACTTTACAATGTAGAAATATTGTAAAGAGACAAAGAGTCTTGATCTTGCTAAGAGCTTGGCAAACACTTGATCTTTGCATCATGGTTCTCATTCAAAAAGGAATAAAGCTTACAGAAGGGTAGCTAGATTTACTCACAGAATCATATTGATACCCCTGCCATATGCTAAGTATTTGGTCTTCAAAAAAAAAAAAAATTCACAAATCCACACATTTTACACATAAGTAGGCACAGAAAAGAAGCTTAAGGAAATATCTTAATAAAATTATTTAGAGGGAAATGGTGTCTTTTCTCTTTTTACAAACATGTGAAGTCGTTTGATAGAAGATACTACTATTTTACAGCTGTGCTTTGGATACATCTAGGTATGCAGCAAGTTTTTATAGGACTGAAGTCTTTTCTGATAATGATCTATAATTAGTTTTGGAGCCAGTTTTGTTTAAAATACAACTAATAAAGTTTATCAGTTTATGGGGTTTTAATTTATCTCTGGAATCAGTTCTAATTTATGGGACAGTATATTCAGTTGTGTTCTTTAGATCCAAATCAAACCAAACTTTTTCACAGTTACAGAATATGAAACTGCCTGCTTGATGGCATTAACTTAATAACTGTAATCTAAGAAAATGAGATTACATTTTTAATTAGATGGCATTAGACTCTGAAAAATCAGTGTCAGCAAGACTTATATCCTAATTTAAAAAAAAAAATATATATAGTCTATGGACATATGTCTAGCTCATCTTCCCTTTTGAGCTTGAAGAGCATTTAATTCAAGTGATCAGCCCATCAAATAGCCTATCTTACACATATTCTTGTTCACACCTGCTGTTAAAAGTTAGACTGTAGGAGAAACTAGAGTCTACCTCATCCCGAATACGACACTGACACATCCGCTGTACATATTCCTGTGCCAGATTTTTTGCACCTGTGCAGCCACATTGTAAAGAAACATGACTGAGAGTATTAAATACACAAAATCCAGCTCTTTTTAAGACTAATTAGCAGATATTCATTGTATAAGCCTATCAGAACAAGTCTACTGTGCTATTTAAAAGAGTGATAGATAATCAAAATTTTAAATTATATTGATTTAGTCCATACTTCTTGGTCATATAAGGGCTGGTGCTGGCCCAAAGCACTTGTACAAGAAGGGAATGCAAGTTTACAGCCTTCAGTAAGTCCCTGCAATTTCAGAAACTGTTTAAACAATCTGACATCTTTCAAAGAAAGACCATAGGAAAAAAGTTAAAAATTAAATGGTTTTGGAAGTAGTAGACATGGGATTTCTGTTTCGGTGTAAAATGTTTTAAATTCAGTTTTGAAAATCAGTATGAAAAATTCATACTTATTTAGCAGACCATACAATAACTTTCAAAATTTAACTGAAGTAAAAAAATATTGTTTTGTTAGAAAAACAATGCTTATAAAGGAATAGATATATTTATTAGTCTAATATATCCAAATTGTCTTAATTTAAGAAAAAATCAGACAAAACATTAAATTGTTGTTCTTCCTGCTTCATAACTGCAGAGGTCAAAAATTCTGGCCTCAGTTATTCAATACGGCCTTTGCCAATTGCCTTCATTTGCTTGAATTTCACTCAAAGCCTGCTGGAAAATACATTTTTATATTCTATAAAGGCATTTTAATGGGTCACATTATTTCATCTCAACATTTCACGTTTAATACACATTTAGGAAGACTTTTCAAAACACCTTAAGAGTACAAGTCCCACTAAAAATCTCTTCAAGAAATTCACAGCAATCAGTCAAATGTATTGCACGCACCATTTCAAAACAATCTTATACC